CCCGAACCTCGCCGTCCCTCCGCGCTGATCCTCTTTCTCTCTCTCTTTTTTTAAAGTGTGACTGAAACAAAACAAAGCCAAAGGGACGCTGGATCTATCATTGGTTGATTTTCCTCCTCCTTTTTTTTTTTATGACCAAAAACAACCCCCCACCCGAGCAAACAAACACACACAAAAGCAGAAAGAAAGGGTCTTGCTCAGCAGCAGCATGGATGTCTTGGCTAGTTATAGTATATTCCAGGAACTCCAGCTTGTCCACGACACCGGCTACTTCTCAGCTTTGCCATCCTTGGAGGAAAACTGGCAGCAGGTGAATCATTTAAATTACTCCTGTAAATCTCTTAAGCGCAGACAGTCGGTGCATTGAGGCTGCATTTCTGACTTTATTTTATTTTTGTTCTTTAATTCAGGGTTGGGTTTTTTTGGTGGTTCTTTTTTTTTTTTTTTTTTTTTTTTTTTTTTTTTTTTGCCGCGTGGGTAGACCTTTAAATCTCTGTATTTTTTACCGTGACAAACTGAGCAGTCCATTCAAATCTGTCTGCCTTCAGTCCTTTCTGAGCACATTCGACAGTACCTGAGATCCGGTGGCATTCTTTAGGGTTGGTTTTGTTTTTTATGCTGACTACTATTTATTTCATTTTTGAGCTTAGGTTTTTTTTATTTTTCTTTGTTTTGTTCTTTTAAACAATCCTACTCACTTCTAGCCAGTGCTGACAACTGGCAGCTGGTGGAAATGGAATAGATCATTCTTATTTTCAGGTAATTAGTATATGTCAATAAAATCGTAGCTTAAGTCGGAGGTGGAGGGTGGGCAGGTGCCTGGAAGCACTAGCAGAAGCTTTAAGGCTAAGTTCAGTAACTAGGAATATGACTTATTTTTCTTTTCCGTTTTTTTCCTCTTTTTTTCCTTGGAAGATGAGTAGAAACGCACACTTCTCGCTGTCTTGAAACAATGACGCCTTAGGCTGGTTCCAGTAAACCAGTGTGTTTTGAGGCACTCTAGGGTTAATATGCAGACAGAATAAAGAGAAAGATGGAAATCAATTCTTATGAATGCATTAAAATGATGACTGGCAGCGTGAATACAAGTAAGACCAAGGGGAAGAGTAGGTTACGAGAAGAGCTGTATAAAATACACCATGCACCCAGTTGTTAACTGTAAATAGTTATCAGCTGCGATATTGAGAGAAAAGGAAAGACAGCGTTTCTATTTACGAACAAATGTTGTGAGGTAGTTCTGTTTCTTTATGTGATTCTCTGGTAGAGGCAATACACCAGGTGAAATTCTGGAAACTGGTGTCTCTTTAAAAGAAAAAAAAACATCTGCTGGTGGGTAGAAATAGTGGAGTGTGGCTGGGATGACATGTGGTGCTATTGCAGCGCACGGACTGTGGCACTATCAGTGTGAGAATAATGAGCCACAGGATTTCATCTTGCCAGCCTTCACCTGAGTCTTGGCTACTGTAAGGGTAGCCTGTCAGTTTTGGGATGTTCATTTGATTTTTCCTCAGAAGTGTGCATGGGTAGAAATGTGGATGGCAGAGCTGCTGGAGAGTACTCGGGCTGTAGCATTGTCAGCCAGCTGGACGGGGCTGGATCTTCAAAGCTTTACCCGTAGTAAAATCATTCTGGCTTCAGCTTTGTATGTGTGTGCACACAAAGCAGAGCTTCATTGTCAGCTACAGGGTGAACACATTCAGGGTTTATTTTGCAAAATGACCAAACCAACTTTGCTTTATCCTCCAAGGGGGAGGGGATGCTTTTTGTTATTAATATTCAGTGCACACATCCATGATGGTCACATCTGCTTTCCTTTTATATTTTTAACATGTTAATTAAACTGAAGAGGTTAATATAATTTAATTTAAAAAATATTTCATAGGATCGTTGTTGGATCGGTTGCATATTACTAACAGTCCAAGCAGTCCAAAGCGACATAGTATGTTGACATAGCCAGCGTGCTTCAGGCAGTGCTGTGAGTGATACTCTGTCTCCTTCTGCCTTCTTTTATGTGTGGAAGAGCAGCAGTTTGTTTTATACAGTAGCATGTACCTACCCAATCCCAGGGTTACCATTGCCAAATTTAAAGTCCTGCTCCTGGTTAAACCCCGTTGATTCTCCACGTATGTTAAAAAGAGAAGCTGAAAATAATTTGCAGCATTTTCCCTTATTTCCTGAAATCCTGCAACCAGTGCCCGATGTTTCATAATGCATCCTGTATTTACGGTTTGTTCCCCTGTTGCTGCCTGGACTCTCCTTGCAAACAACAGGCAGCAAAACTGATGTGTCAGTGGTGGGAGCAGCTGAAGCTGGCTGTGCAGACACCGTGCTGTTACACAAGCCTGGCAGACCCACTGACACAGAGACCCCAATTTAATTCTTCTGAATCACTTGCAACGTAATCAAGTATTGGGGATTTACTTATTTTAGGCAAACTGTAGCAACTTGGAGACAAAGAATGTGTGTGTTTCTAAAGGGTCGTTTAAAACTAAAGGCTACAGTTGAGACTCTGGGGAACAGAGCTGACAGGGTAGTGACTGATTCCTGTGGGATGTGTCAGAGGAGAGAAACAGCAGCTTTAATTTTGAGTAAAAACACTTGAACAAGTCCTGCCTCTGCTCCAGTGGTGCTACAGAGGCTCCAGAGCAGTGCTTCTCCCAGCAGCAGAGCAGCGCCCCAGGAGATTACTTCAGTCTCTTAAAAAGGCACGGGTTGAGGGGGGAAATAGATGTGTGGGTTAAGAGCAAGCTTCTTTATCACATTGTAAGCTCCAGTTTTGTGATTAGCAGCTACTAGTGCGTGATGTGCAGAGGTAGTCAGTGCCAGGTCCTGCTCTGACAAACGATGCTCACTGTGGCACCATGAACGATGCACCTGCCCCACTGAAAATCAGAGCGTGCCTTGGGGTGAAAGCGTTGACACAGTCCTGTCTTCCTTTTCTCCTGGGCCTGGAAAACAGTCTGCTAGCTGCTGGCTGAGGAATACACAGCTGAGCCAGTTGCTCGTATTTCAGATTGTGAAACACCCATTACTCACAGAGGGCACTGACAGCACAGGCAGGTTGGTAAATGCTTGCACACAGTCAGCTGATCTCCCGTTTTCCCTTCCCACTGCTGGAGGAACGTGAGCAAGTTTGGTATCTCTGCTTTTGACAATTAGTGTTGGAGTTGAATGAGTGAAACCCAGCAATATGTACAAAACAAACAGATTTTGTGGAGGAACAAATTGTCTCCTTTTGTGTAGGTTTCTGTTTTAGAAGGCAAAAATGCAAACAAAGAAACCCTTATTTCACCCTGCACATAGTTTGCATGGTGGAAGTAGAAATACCTGAAATGGAAGCTGGAAATAAACCTGTGATGCATTTGATGTTTTTTAAAAACACAGTTTGGGAAGGGAGAGCTTGATTTTTAGGCAACAAAAGCTGAGTTCCTCTCTGAGCTTTGGGTGTACTCTTTCAGGCACAACACTTTTGAGGTGAGGAGGATTTTTCATGGAGTGGGGGTGTCAGAATCTAACAAGTAATCAATAGTACAATTTCACCAGGAGAGAGAACTTTGTTTAGCTTTTCCACAAAAAGCTTTTCCACAGTGTTGAGCCTCCATGGCACTGAGGAGGGATGAAAGGAAGAGGTGGGCTGTGTGCATTGGGAAATGAGTCGTTTGCTCTAAGTCAGCTGGCTGGCACCTCGTGTCTCTGCCTGGTGCTTCATCCTGACTCTGACTGAACCGTCCTAGTTCTCTCTGTCCCTGTGAGCTGACTCTGCAGTTCAGGACAGGGCGGGGGAGATTTCAGCACCTGCGTGGCTGCTGCGCTGCTGCAGGAGGACCTCTGACCACATATGCCATTGCTCTGGGCTGGCTGTCTCATGTGGCATCCCTGAGATTGGAACCAGGCTGCTGGCAGAGGCAGCATGAGGCTGAAGGGCACCTCATTACTCTGCAGAGGAAGGAAGTGGGTAGGAGGCTGTTTTTGAGGGAGATAACTCTGAGGAGCACAGCCTGTGCAGCTGCACATGGTCCCACTCTGTGTGCCAGGCTGCAGAGAGGGGGAGAGCGGAGCTGAGAGTTTGGAAGGGGTGGACATGGGGCTTCCCTCTGTTCTTCCTGCTGGGCCTTCACCATGTCATTTAGGGGATCATTGAAAGATCAGGGTGCAGAAGGCGTCTTTTGTAATCAGATATGCCTCTTCCTAGGGGTGACATTTTTGACATCCCTATTGTCCTTCTCTGTAGGTCCCTTGGTGGACTCAGAACTCACTGTGCTGTTGTGAAACAGGGGTCTGATCAGGACATTTTGGGGCTGTCTTCATATTCATGGGGAGCGTAGGGCAGTGTCGAGCATGGCAGTTCCCATAATGTCAGAATATGGGAGCACAAAGAGCAGGTGGATGCACAGAGTCATCCTGTGTAGCTGATGCAGCTGTATAAAAGCAGCAGGGCTTAGGTGCCAAGCCCTGGTTTATTCTGGAGGAGATAGCCTTTCCCACGTGTCAGCAGGCAGCACAGGTCTAATTGGCTGGCAGAAGTGGAAATGGCATTATATTGTTTGCTGATAACCATTGCCTGATAACATTTCCTTTTGCCTTGGCTGACCCAGCTGCTCTCAGCTGCAGCAAACAATGATCCTTTCAAGAAAGATGCACATTTCCTGTAAAGCATAGGATTGAGGAAGCCTTTGTTTTTCTGTTGATCCTTTCATATAGCCTTCTTTGCCTGTTTTTAATCAATTCTTCAAGCCTCAGTTTCCCTCTTTCTGAAGTGACTGACAACAGCAATGCTAAGGCCTAATGGTTTTTGTGGTGCTCAGAAGGCTGAGTTTTGACTCATCCTGGAAAAGGGCTTTGAGATCCCTGTGCTGTCTGAGAGCAGAGTATCCCAGAGTGACTAATCTAGTAGAATTCTTATATCTTAATGCTGACTTTTGCTTGGCAGACAGGGTCATTTTCAGGCCTATAGGAAAAATTTCCACCCCTACTGGAAAGGAATAAATCACACTGAAGAACATTCCTGCCTCCCCATCGTCTCCATTGTTCTAGTTTAATGGCATAGTTGGCCACTACATAAACTAAACCATCTCTTTTAATATTGCTATTTCATCTTGGTTCCAGTCACAGTGTAACACATTTCTTAAGTGCTTATAGTACATCATGCCTCTTGGGAATAACTTTCAGAAATGGTTGACTTCCAAGAACAGCCACATGTGTAATGCAGTGTATTTCAGACTCTGAATGCCGCTCCATTTATACCTGCAGTCCCTCTGCCTGCTCCATGTGCTGAAAGCATGCTCCTGTCATCTTACAGAAAGAATGGAC